TCCTTGGCATTCCCATTGCTTGAGTGAAGACTGTGTTACGTCTCCGAGTGCGCATTAATACATGTTGGTCTCCAAATACGTGTTAGTCCGTGTTGACTTACCCTTGTATGCAGCAGGTGTGGGGATCAGACCTGGGAGGACATTCTGATCAAGGAAGGCTTGATGCTGCTGCTGGGAACTGTTTGCCTTACAGCATTTTTCCTTCACATCACAACTAAAATATCACAGCCACCACCAATGTTGGTGTTTCTCCTGTGCTGGACTGTGAGGGCCTTCCTCCCCTGCCATTGTTGTTGTTTCAGTGTCTTACCTATTTATCAGCTACAGAAGTCCTCCTGCTGCAGCCTGGCTCTCCACACACTGGGATCAGGACACTCAGTGATCTGCATGTAAAGCAAACCTGTAAATCTTTCTCTCCAATGAGAAAACCCATAATCTGGGCAGAACCCAGGCAGGTCAGGACCTCAGGGCTGCAGTGGGAGGACGAGGGGCTGGCAGTGCCATTCCTCCTGTCATCACAAGGGGCCTGTGCTACCCAGCACTTTGCTCAAGCCTCCGCTCATTGATGGAGATGCTGTGCAGCCCCTTGGTTCTGCTTCATAACCCAAAAATGGTCCCAGCCTTCACTGGGGACCAAGAAACGTTTACAAACCCAACCTGAGTGCATCCTATGGACTTCAAACTCGGGGGGAAATAAAATGTTCTCAACAAGTTCTCAAGTGGGTATTATTTTAAAGGCTGCCACTTGCAAATAATCTTGTGGTTGCATAGATGGATAGCCTCCTCCAAAGAGTCCCAAGCACCACGCTCAGGCAGCATTTCCATTCCGTGCTCTTCTCGGCAGCTGCATTCACTCCTACTATTTAGCAGCTAGCCATACATCAGCTCTGCTCCCACAGCACAAGCTCCAGGGGTGCCCATCCCACTTCTGGGCCCACTTGTGCTACTGAAAGCTCCAAAAAGCCCCATGGGCAGTGCATGGGTTGGAGCTTTGCCCTCTCGGATCAAAGCACTGGCAACAGCGGTGCTAAAAACACTTGGAGAATTACTTAAGTCGATGTAGGCAGAGGGTTGGGGCTTTTTTTTGATAAAAAACAGGCTGATTGATAATTGGATGCACATTTCCAGCCTGCACGACACTTCTGGCAGAGCACAAGCAGGCGGTGTTTCTCTGTAGCTGGAGCACAGCAGAGGGACAGGCAGAACGTGGAGAAACTCTTTGCTGTGCACTGCACACTGAGGGCAGGCAGCACGCACACATTGCCCCCCAGTGCACACTGCCCCCACTTGCCCAAATCCCTCACCAGAACCCCCAAGAACAACAAAACAAAGGGTTCTGCCTGCTTGTTTGGAGAGGGAAAAAGGATTTTTAGGGCTGAAGATGCGTGCACGTTGGGGTGGACCATCAGGTGGACCCCAGTGAGCGCTCTTGGCCCTGGTTGAAGGCAAACCTGGCCACAGCTGCTCCATCACTACTGTGAACTCACCACTTCCTTCCCAAAGAAAACAGGAGAAAGAAAGCAAAACTAAACTGGCAGCAGTCTGTCACATGCAGAGAGCAGCAGTTGCTCTGGGGGGCAGCCCTGCCTTCACCGCGGCTCACAGAGAAATTCAGCAGCAAGAAACCCTTTGGAGGCTACGTGCATGGGACTGCAATGATTGTGCTGCTGGTGGTACTAGAGAAAGAGCTATGCTAATTTCCTGAGCAGAGAGACGATGGGAGGGGGGACTTTGCTCTTGTACTTCACTCAGCCTAAGTGAAAGCTTTTCTTGTTGCTGCTACCGGTTCTGCTCTGGCAGAAGAGGATTTGTTGGGTTTTAACCAAACCTGAGGAGATTCCCTTCCCACGGTGGCTGCTCTGACAGTTTGCTTTGCAGGAGCACAGGAAAAGCTGAAGGTTGGAGAGAAAGGAGAGCAGGGGGTAAGGGCTCAGACTGACAGCACCACGTGGGTGAGCAGCAAAACTGATCTCCCTGCATTTGGCACTGCATCCCGAGATCCCACATGCAATTAGCTGTGCTACACAAAGACAATGAGTTATCCCACCCGCGTGCCATTAATTATACACCCAACATTCTGCAGCCCTTAAACAAGGACTGCCAGGGCGATGCCTCTTGCACACAATACTTCCAAGGGCGCTGCAGGAAGGGAAGAACGGCTGCTTTTGTCTGCTAAAAATACCTTTTCCTGCCTCCATGGCTGCACGCTTCCAGCCCAGCCCCACAACGCTTTTTGGCCTCTGCAGAAGCACTAAGCAGGAGCAGAGCTTGCACCCCCCCAGCCAGGAGCGAGCCTGGGGAGCGCTGCAGCTGGCATGGGAACAAACACACAGACAGGGCTGGAGTGCTGGTGTGACCCACAAGTACAGGCAGTAGATTTTGTTGCTTTAAACCAAACTGAGATGAGGAGAGGTTTTCCAGACAGGCGTGATTTCATCCGATCCATGGCCAAGTTTTGCTTCATGGGCACAGCCACCACCCTGCAAAGCCCAGGGCAGGGATGTGTACCGTGGTGGCACCGGTTGAGCAACCCATGGCACACAGCACACAGCAGAGGGAGCAGAGCAATGCAGTGCAGCCACAGATCCCTGCTCACAGCACAGCAAAATTGCAGAAAATTCCACTGATGCTCACAATTGTGCTGGGACACCCCTCACAATGAGGGTCACTGCCATGACCCAACACAGCCCAGTCCTCACTACACATAGGGAGACTTTCCCAGCAGTAACTGCTATGCCAACCTATAGGGGATTTTTACCTTTTCTTTTTTTTTCTTAAACCATACTTCTCCTAGATAAGCAGAGAGGGAAAAACTTCATTCCCAGGCAGAATTTTTGGCCATGGGACGGTGAGAGCAGCTCCAGCTCCTCTTGCACACATCTGTGTGCCCTTCCTGGGCTCCTCCTTGCTAAGTTGGCACCAAGCAAACCAGCTCATTAGCAAACCAGCTCATTAGCACCTGCCCAGGATGGGAAGATGTGCAGCCACCCCAACTGCAAGCCCTACTTTCAGCTTCTGAAATGGAGAGGAAGGCTGCTGCAGGGCCATGGGGCACTACCAAAACAGGATATGGTTATGCTCCCAAAGGTGGCTTTGAAATAAAAACCTTATCTGTACAGTAAGTGCTGCCCAAACTCGGGTCATGCCTTCTTATAAATGAGCTGGCTTCTGCGGAAATGAAAGTATAAAGCAAAGCATCCATCGCACAGCTGAGCAGGAAACAAAAATACGATTTTCGGATCCCAGGCGCTGGTCAGGTATGAGGTTTTTTTGGTGCTGCCCCCATTCCCGTCACTTGGCTGGGCTTGAAAGCAGCACCCAAACCCACAGGATGGGGGAGTGAAGCACCCTGAGCTGCAGAGCAGAACAGGCAGCCGTGAACACGGTTGCAGGCTGCTTCCCACACTGCCCAAAACGGGACAAGTTTTGGGGGGGTCATTCAGCAAGCCCCTGGGCTGAGGAGCCTGGGGACTGCCAGATCTTACATTACATAGTTTTAGGAAGGATGGAAGAAAAGGGTTTTCTTGCAATCGCTCGGCTCAAAGCACCCTGCAGAGAGCACAGGCAGCTGCCAGGAGGCGCAGTGCACTCAGGGACGTTTCTCACCGCTAAAAGCAATGATGGAAACGTTGTGGGACCTACAAGACCAAAGGAGCAGCTCCCCAGGGTCCCCAGGGCCACAAAAGCAGCAAAACCCAACCCCAAATGCTTTGATTCCAAAAGCAGCAGCAGATTGATCCAACCCTCAGCCCAAGGGACAGCGCTGCGGTGAACACACCACAGTGCTGACAGCTCCCACAGAAGATTAATTATCGTGCATTAAGTAATCATCAGGCTTCAAAAGCAATGCCTGTGAGCTCTTTATATTAGGACATAGCTGTTCAAGCAGCCAAGTGCCCATGTGCTTTGGGAGATGCAAGCCCTGCACGGGGCTGTGCCACCACAACGACCAGAGCGTGTCCCTGTGTCCACCAAAATGAACTGAAGTGTCAGTCCTCAACCCTTCAACAATCCTCAGTCCTTCTTGGGGTCATAGAATCACAGAATGACTGGCTTGGAAGGGACCTTCAAACACACCCAGCCCTAAGCTCTGCTCTGTGAGCTGGGTGCCCCCCAGCTCAGGCTGCACAGGGCCCATCCGTGGCTATGGGCACCTCAGGGATGGGGCACCCACGCCTTCCCAAGAGATAACTGCTACAACTGCTCACTAATATGACATCATGAAGCACTACAGAGGAAAGCCCTCGCCTGGTGAAGCCTATCCCATTGACTCCAGTGCATCCACATCCAAGGAGATGTCAATTAAGGCACATGTTCATTTTTCCACATCACCCCTCAGATCTTCCATTTCTGTATTTGCCTTCAACAGGAGGAAAGAATGCTTAAAGAAACACAGAAGTGAGCAAATGCTTCTACATTTTGTAATGAAAGTGTGTGAACACTCATCCCTACAGGGCAGGTTTGTGCTGGGCGGTGGTGAGCAGGGTGGCACAGGGAGAGCAGCCCCAACCCACATTCTTGTGGTAGAGAAGGAAAAAAGAGCAAAATCATCTCAGCAAAATCAGGAAAAGACTACTAGGATCCCCAACTCAATTCCAGCACACGCCACCATGCCATCACCATGTCCTTCATTGCCACATCCCCATGGCTCTGGGGAACCTCAGGGATGGCGACCCCACTGCTCCCTGGGCAGCCTGCGTATCACTGCTCTTTCTAAGAGCAAATTTTTCCTCATATTCAACATGAAAAGACGAGAGAACACAGCTCTCAGCCCCATTAGCCCTGTGCCCTTGCTGCTTCCAAAACCCACCAAAAGCAGCAGCGCTTCCGTAGAGCACTTGACCACATACATAAATAAATGGGGGGGAAAAGGAAAAAGAAAAAAAAAGACAACCACTTACCATGCTGGGCTCTGCCCTGACACCACAGGCAGCAGTGAGGCGAGCCCTTTGGGGAGGGCCCTGCGCCGGCGCAGCCTGCACGCCTGCATTGAGATTGCACTTTTGCTTTGAGAGCCGAGAGCGGTGGGAGCGCAGCTGGGCACCGTGGGTCTGCCAAGGTAGGAGCACGCTTTGGTCAGGCTCATTGCTGGGGTCTGTTGTGCTTTTCTTAGTGCCAGGTAGATCATGGAATGGCTTGGGTTGGAAGGGATCTTAAAGATCAGCTCGTTCCAACCTCTCATCGAGGCGACTTTGCGCCGCTTGCAGTAGGAGAGGACAGGGGATGCTGAGCAGTGGGGCACCGTCAGAAATCTCCAAAGTTAAGTGACTAAAAGCAAGGAGACTCACTGGTAAAAATTAGGGGGAAAAAAAACGTTCTTCTGTGCTCGCTGTGCCTTGGGGAGGCTGCTGTGGGGAGGGGTTGGAGTGCACACTGTGGGAACAGCAGCTCTGCTCAGCCGGGGGCACACGGCTGTGTCCCAACACTGTGTGCCAGCAGTTTGGGTGGAAACCTCACGGCTTTGGTGACCAGCTAACCACAGCACATCAGGGAAAGGAGACAGGGAAAGGGGCTCCAGGCTGAACCCCAGCACTCCCTCAGCATGCATTTTCCACTTCAAATGCGGATAAATATCAACAAGGGAGGAAAAGAGCTTGGGCAAATGGCTAAGAGACAAAAGCAGAGTATCTCACTGAGAACTGAGGTATTTACGTTTTCGTGCACATCAGTGGGACTTACCCAGCTGAAATCCCCCTGCCTGCCCAGCTGCTGCTCCTGGGGCAGCCCCAGTCAGTGCTCCTGGGATGGAGTGTCCTGATCCTCCCCAGAAGCAGTTCCAGGGGTGATGATGGGGTTACAGTCAGCCATGGGGGCTCCTCACTGCTTGACCTGGCAGCCCAACCATTTCCAGCACTGCAGGGATGGGGCTGGCAGCACTCACACACCTGGGGCATGAGCAAATGAGAGGTTAATGAGGAGCAATGGAAGGAAACCTCATTCAGCTGTGCCAATGCCCCCCAGCCCTAACCTGTACAGTCTTGGCTCTCACTGCTCCTCTTCTGTAATGAGCACTCAGCACTTGAGTGACTCATGTTTCAAGCAACCACAGGCGATGATGAATGGGCAGCTGCTCCAGTGCTCTGCAACTGAATCAAACAGAACAGCTGTATCTGCCTTGAAAACAGACAAAACAGACGGTTAGCAAATATTTTATGACAACCCAAAGCAGGGTGGGTGCTCAGCTCAGAAGAGATGCTGCATGGGGTGGTTGCTCCAGAGGCTGCTGGTAACCTGGGCAGGGGCACAAAGCTCTGCTCCCAGTACAACTCTGGGGTGGGGGCTCACCTGGCTCCGAGCACATCAACATCACTGGGATGGCCAAACACATGACGATCTGAGGAAGATGGCCAGCAAAAATACATTGGCTTCTTTGGTAGCATCTACATATGGGAGAAGGAAAGAGATGCACCTGCCCGGCTAACAGTGAGATGCAGGACTGCCTCTGGAGAAGATGTAAACCCAAAAAGTCTACCAGCAAACTGGCTGCAGAGAGAGAGTATTCTTTTTTTCAAAACCTAGAAGCAGTGGTACTTAATTATGAGATTATATTTTGATAACTTCTGCTTGTTACTCATTAAGTACCAACAAGAAGCCTCCATCCAGCATCCTAAAGTGTCCGACTGTGGGGACTACTGACAAAATGAAGAGGGGGCAGAAGCCGGGGAGGAAGAAGGAAGTCATGCCTCACCCCCACCACAGTCTGAGCTGCCGTGAACCAAAATTTCCCCTTTCTGCAGCCTTTGTTTTTTTTAGCCTCTGGCCTCTTTGTGTGCAGCGCTCTGCCTGAAACACTGTGCTCAGCACTGTGGCTGCCGGGATTTCCAAGGAGCAGCATCAGGGTCCTGTGGCTGCAGAGCATCCCCCAGTCCCGGGTGGGCAGCAGGAAAGTCCCTGTGCACCCACAGAGGGACCCTGAAGCTGTTTGTCCCATTGGCCGTCTGCCCCTCCTCCACGTGATGCTGAACCCCAGAGGTGCTGCAGGATCTGGTCCCATCACCCTCCTGCTACTGGTGCCACTACAGCAGGCAGCAATGGGAGTCCCCAGCTCCCCACCCATGGTGAGACACCCCTGTAACTCACAGATTACTCACACTTCTGGAATTAATCATGGCTGAGGGTCAACTTCAGAGCTAATAAAAGTATTGGGAAGTCTTTGGAAAACAAGCCCACGACTCAGTGCTGGCAGCTTCTGGAGTTAATGTGATTACTGCCCATGGTTACACTGGATGTTGGCTCCCTGGAAAAAGAAACATCTCCATCTCATTGGGCTCATCGTGGTGGTACAAACAAAAGCGACACAGAAGGCTGCCCCTGGAACTGTTTCCTTTTGCAGGTTTTCTCATTTCATCACCCAGAGCAACAGTACAGCCACACTGATACTTGCTAGATGTCAGCTTTGTTGGCAGACATGTATTTTAGCACAGGAAGAAGCACCGCACAGCACAGCAGGATGCAGTTCTATAGCCATGTCTGCTGCACCCACGTGGCACCCACGCTGTTCCCACTCTAGTGCTTCACAGTGAAGCAAAAGCCAAACCAGAGCAACGTGGGTCAGAGGGCTGAACTCCCTCTGTATTTATAAGATCTGCTTGTTGGGGTTTTTTTTGGTTTGATATATTTAGGTAAGGTCAACTGCTCACCATGCAAACAAGTTTTAAATGAAGCCCACCCACTTGCTCGATGCGGAACCGATACCTGGGATTTCCAGTGGTGATGCTCACCAGGTGGCTGAAGGAAAAGCCCAAAAAAGCCACAGGGAGAGAATCAGATTCACTGCCCTGAGAGCACTCGGGTGGCAGAAAGTGGCTGACAGGCACTGGGGCTGCAAAACCAGCTCACAGCCCCAGTCAGTCCTGCAACACCAGGAGCTGCTGTCCGTGCCCTGGTTTGCGATGGTGATTGAACCCATGTTCTGCTCACTCTTTGGGTGCTTGGCACATGGTTGCATGCAGTGCTGGGTGGGTGGTGAGGAGCTGCCACCAGATGCCACCCATTGGGTTTCTGTTAAGGGCAGAGATGTTCCCTGGTTTCTGCACATCCACGCAGTGCTCCAACCACATCTTTGTCTTTCAGCTTCTTCGAAGGAGGGTCTGCAGTGCCCAGCGTGGGTACAGACTGGCACTGGGCTGCCCACTGCTTCAGCTGGCAATGATGGATTTCCACGTGGGATCTCACCTCGTCCAGCACTGCCAGCAACTGCACTGACATCGGGCAGCCTCTGAGAACACAGCAGCACAGCTCGGACCAATGCACAAAGCTCCTGGCCAAGGGCATGGGGCAGTTGGGTCTCTGAGCCTCACTCACCAGCACTGGTGGTGGAGGGCCTTAAACCTTTTGATTTCAGCCTCAGGTCAACACAGTGAGGATGATGTCACCGCATTGGAGCATCGACCCCACACACCAACACGGCCACAGCAGCAAAATTCATGAAGAGCAAAGGCAGATGGTGCCTGGAAGGAGGGGAAGCAAAGTTTTGGGGCAGGGGCAGCACTGAGCTCGCAGACCCCGACACACACTAGGATTGGGGCACTGGGGCCATGGAGAACAGCTCCAACTGCTCCGCCAGCACTGACCTGAAGCTCTACTACGCCATCACATACGCATTCATCCTCATCCCTGGACTCATAGGAAACGTGTTGGCTTTGTGGGTTTTCTATGGCTACATGAAAGAGACGAAAAGGGCTGTGATATTTATGATCAACTTGGCCATCGCCGACTTATCACAAGTTTTATCCTTACCCCTGAGGATTTTCTACTACTTGACCAAAACGTGGAAGTTTGGAGGAGGCCTCTGCATGTTCTGCTTCTACCTGAAGTACGTCAACATGTACGCCAGCATCTACTTCCTGGTGTGCATCAGCGTGCGCCGCTTCTTGTTCCTGATGTACCCCTTCCGATTCACGGACTGCAAGCGTGTCTGCGATGTGTACATCAGCATCGTGGGCTGGGTGGTGGTGTGCATTGGCTGCCTGCCTTTCCCCTTGCTGAGGCTCACTCAGAACACCACCAACGAGTGCTTTGTGGACCTGCCCGTGCAGGAGGTGGACCTTCCCACCTCCATCATCATGATGACCATCGGGGAGCTGGTGGGCTTCGTGACGCCCCTGCTGATCATCCTGTACTGCTCCTGGAAGACGGCCTTATCGCTGAAGGAAAGGAACTCTGCTTCACCAGACCTCGGGGAGAAAAAAAAGGCTCTCAAGATGATTCTCACCTGCGCTCTCGTATTTCTGATCTGCTTCGCGCCTTACCACATCAGCTTCCCCCTGGATTTCTTTGTCAAAACCAAAAAGATTAAGAACTGCTGCACCCAGAAGGTGATCTCAGTGTTCCACGCTGTTGCCCTGTGTCTCGCCAGCCTCAACTCCTGCGTGGACCCAATCCTCTACTACTTCACCACGGATGAGTTCCGCAGGCGGCTGTCCCGGCAGGACGCGCTGCAGGACAGCATCCCTCTGAATGCTCCTAGCCAGCAGTACGCCCAGAGCACACTGCAGGACAAGCCCACTGATTGCTAGCACAGCGCCCGTGGTTTTGGGGTTTGACCAATGATTTCAGGAAGGATTTGAGCTTTAGGAAAAAAAAGCCAAGCTTGAAAAAGCCATCGCGCTTTAATATTTTGGTTGAAGATTTGCCCTGTATAAATAACCACGTGTGGTTCCCCATTCCAGAGCTGGGCAGCCAGGAGCAGGACACAGAGCCATGCCACCTGGCCATGTTACGATCACACCAGCACCACGCAAGGGGCAGCAGAGATTTGGGGGTTTCCCTATGCAGAATTTGGTCCTAAAAGTGAGCATATGGCCTAGAGGCATATTCTCCTGAAGCAAAAGGTCACGGAGCAGTGCAGCTCACTTCCATACGGTGCCCAGAGCCCACCTCACTCCATGCTGACTACATACAGGAGCTTAACAGCCTTGCTGTGCCAACAGTTACTCAGGCATCTTTTCTGGGGGTGCACCAGATGACAGTTCCCCAAATTGCAATGCCACTCAAGTGCCCACACACTATTTTTCTACCCTCGTTTTGTTCTACCACCAGTTATTTTTCTAGCATCAGTTTATTAATAAGTAGCAGAACACCACCAGCAAAGCCCAAAGCCCTCTTTGTTGCCTGTGACAAGCTTTAAGCATGGACTCCTGCTTCGAGGGTATTCATTCAGGCTCCAGCAAGCCTCCCGGGTCCCTTTTTCCCCTCAAGAATGGCACATGTGGCTCTGCAGCACTGCGCTCCCATCAGCACAGCACTGAGCTCACCCCGAGCCCAGGATCCAACCACTGCAATATCTGAGCAACTTCCTGTAACCTTACACAGGCCAACTTGTGAAGTTCAGGCCCTTAACCCCAGCTTGGCTGAGATGCTGTCAGAGGAACCAAAGCTGTCTGAAGCTGAAAGCAATGGAATCCACTCTTTGTCAAGGCACGTAAGAGGCACAGAGACTTATAAAGACATCTTCAAGGCTGGGTGGATTTCTAATGGTCATTACTTCCAAAAAATCAAGCAACAGCAGCTTCGTGCTCATCTGGCATTTTGTTTGCACCTTCTTGTAAAATTGTTACGGGAATATTTGAAACGTTACGTTTTGGAAATGTAAAAATACTGTGACGATATGAAAACTTAATTTAATGCTAAGGCTGTTTTGTAGATTTAACTTATGAAAACATAAATATTTCATAGAAAAATGACGTGAATCCCATTTCTTTGTTGTTTTAGAACCCTTCCATTTAATAAAAGGGAACTCCACCAGCCTGTGTACTTGCATTCACCACGAATTCACAGAGACCAACAGCACGCTGCCATTTGCTCATGGCAACAAAAGCAACTATTTCTTTTCCACTACCTGCCTGCATTCCCTGCAGCACACAGTGAACACTTCCCATTTTCCCTGCTTCCAGCACAGCCCTTGGCCTGCTCTCAGCCCAGCACACGTCACCAGCTCCCACAGCAGGGCAGCACCTGCAGCAGAGATATCTCACATGCACCTGCAGAAACCCAGCTGGGCACGCAGAGCATCTCCCAGAGGATCCAGACACATCAGACACACTTCACTGCAGCATCCACGTTCTAAGATAATGCAGTTTTAAGCTTTTCCTCCATCTTACGAACACCCATGCGTTTCAGAGCAGCCCCAAACGGGGCTCTCTTGCCCTCAGCCCATTGGGCTGTGATTGGGCTGGTCCCATTTCAGGCGAGAATGAAACCCCCATTACTGGAAGGGATGAGACCCCCGACCCACACTGGCCGACATCAGCAGCTCCGGATGTGTGGGAGACAGGCGATGGGTGTCAAAACTTCAGAAATAGATGAGAAAAACTCAGTGTGCTTCGGTTTTCCCACCTAGGAAATACCGTAGGTGGACCAGCAGCCATGTGGGTTATTCATATCAGCTCCAAGAGTCTCTTCACACAGGAAGTGCTGCGACAGCCTCAGCACTCACGTGAGCTGGGTTCAGGGCGCTGCAAGCTCTGCGACCCCAGCAGTGCTTTCTGTCATGGAATCACAGAATGATGAGGATCAGAAAAGCCTTCTCAGATTCCCACCCCCACCCCACCGTGCCCCTCAGAGCCACATCCCCATGGTTCTGGAACACCTGTGGGCAGCCCGTGCCAGTGCATCACAGCTCTTTTGGACAGTAAGTTGTTCCTAATGTCCAACCTGCACCATTGCCTCTCGTCCTCCATCTCACAGCCTTTATCTGATGCTCTGTGGATACTCGGAGAACTGAGACGTTGCCTTGCATGGGCAAACAGTGAGGCTTGTGCCCAGGGGACGGCTCTGCACCAGCTCAGAGGGATGCTCTGGGTTTCTTCAAGCATCCTCTGCACAGTGCATTTCTCCAGCAGTCCCCATAGAGCTGGGCTGACACCATCCTGAAACAACACCCAGCTCAGTCAACCGCTGCTATGCCAAAAGGAAAGGTCTGTCCCCTTCTTATTTGCAGCATCACATTTCAGGAGAGTTCTCCTTCATGGAGCAATGGAAGGCTCCTTCATGGATTACTGAAGATATTTTCCTTGCAGGGACATGCAGCTTCAGCTGCAATTGAGCCAAAGCTTCCACAGGGTCAGCTCTGTTTCTGCTTCCCCATGCTTTATTTTTTCAGACTGCTGCACAAAGTTTATTTTCAACTTTGCAGCTTTCATCATCACCCTAAAACGCTCCAAACCTCAGAGGAACACGGATGGTTTCCTGGGAAGTTCTGATCTTATCAAAAAAGCTAATTTTCCATTAATTAAAAAAGTCCAGATGCAGCATTTTCCCTGACCTCGTTCCAACACTCCATCTGCAGACTGAGACCTGTGCTCTCCCTGATGCTGCACAGCATCTGCTCCCAGCAGCTGCATCCCACCTGACCCCATCTGTAGCAGTAGCACAGAACTGAGGAAAAATAGGTTATGTGGGGACTCTGAGCTGCTCAGCAGCAGCACCAAGGTGTGTTCTGCTTTGGGACACAGGGAGCTTGGCTGGGCTGTGGGTCACAGCAAGGCTGTCATCTCACAGTCCCATTCCCACCGCCACGCAGCACTGTACACTGTGCTGTACACGCAGCTGCCCCAGCTGCAGGAGGTTCCATCACCAGTGCTGTCTTGCTTGGCTTCCTCTGTGTCAGGCACCAGGGCAGAAGCACAGCGGGGCATGCATGGCGAGGCCTGAAGCTGCAGGAAATGGGGCAGCATGCACCTGGGCTATGAATAGCAGGGCTGTTATCCTCCCTCTCAAAGGCCAGTGCTCAGCCAGCAGGAGATGCCCAGTCCAAATGTATCCATCTGGTTGTTAAAGACTACATCCAAAGCAGGACTGGGGTTTTAGCAGAGCATGAATCTTGCTGTCCTAAAACACAGGGAAAGGATCACGTTGTCACTGCTCCTCCCTGTAAGTGTAAGACAGGAAATGGTTAAGATTACTCCTTCATCCAAGAGGGGATTTGAAACTCTGCTTCCTCGTGCTCTGAAAATGCCTTTGGCTATTCTGTATGAGGATTCCGCTCCTCCCATCAAAGCGGTGGAGAAAAAGAAAAGCTGAGTAGCTGGTGACCAGGGAGCAGACACAGACACAGCTTGTAGTGGTCAGTGCCCTCTGCTCAAAGGGGAAGGCACTTGTTCCTGCTGCAAGCTCTATTTCTGTACCTGACGTCAAACCAACACTGGTTATGACCCATGAAAATCACCAGCTGCTGGGAGGGGCAGAGGGGGTTTTGGTGGCAGGAGGCACATCCTGCTAAGGGATCTCCATCCTGCCCATGGCAAGCCAGTTTGGCACCGTGCACAGATGTCATGAGAGCCTGTGCAGGCTGCAGTGCATTTGGACCTCAAAACAGTTCTCAACCCCGAAAGAGAAAACATCCTTAGGTGGGTCAAAGCTCATGTTCACACACAGGGGTGTCAGCATGAAGCTAAAGAGAGGGAAAATGAAGCCTCTTGGAGGCTGCCTACCTCTACACTGGTTGAGCAGTGGCTGTCAGGATGACAATTCTCAATGCAGTTCTGATGACGTTTCCTTCTCCCCTGTGTCCCAATCCTTAACCTTAAGCCCAGAATTCAGGACAAAAACAAAACAAAACAAAAACCACAGCAAAACAAAAGATTAAAAACCAGACCAAATCAAACAGTGAGCTCAGGATGGATGTGATAAACATAACTGACTGCCAATGAGAACTAAAAACTCCTCCACTCTTCTGCATACTCACTTTCCCAGTGGGCTCAACTGTGATCCAAGGACACATCTTGTCAGGGCTCAGCTCGTTGGAGTTCATGGCTTTTAGCACCCAAACCATACAGCCATCCATGGCCTGGTGCAAGCACCCAATGACCAGCCTCACCTCCTTGCCTGCCCTTCCAGATGTCCTAGCAAAAAACCCTCTGTGTCAGACTCTCAAGTTCCTGAAGATCTGTCTCTGCTGACAAGGTTCTGTAATCTGCTGGCAGCCCATGTATCAGCCCTGTGATTCAGTGCCATTACCTCACACAAACCCCATATTACATGACGTAGTCAATATTTAAAGACATGGTGAGTCCTTGTGGTCAGACAGAGGTCTGTGAGCTAAAGAGAAAGTTCCCAGGAGACCTACATAAAACAGAAGCTAACGATCACACGGCTTTAGGTTTCTTGTTTAAGGAGAGGTTTCTTATTTAAGCAAATGAACACTAACCATCAAAGCCTCACATCCCCGCCTGTTCCTGTTGGTTAGCAGACCTTCAGACCCATCACAAGCCCACAGCAGCACCTGCTCCACCCCAGGTTTTCTCTCTACATTTGCTCGCCCCTGGACTCTCCCACCAAACAGTCAATGCACCCTGGTTCTGTGGGATTTCCTACAGCACTCACTGGCCTGGGCCAGGGCCAAGCTCTATCTGTGTGACTAAGGAAGTATTTACACTCCATCATTTTGTCTTCTAAGCAAGCCACGTGCTACTAAAGGTTCCAGGAAATACAGTGGCTGCAGGGATGACCTTATAAACACTACTACAAATGCTATCCAATCTCTCAGAAGAGTCAAGCAGTTCTCCTTTATTGGTAAAAGGGATGTGGGGCAGCTGGCACAGCCTCTGCAGGGAGCAGAGGATCCCTCTGTGCCCTCTCCTGAGAGCCAAGAGGCACGATGCTGAACTGGTGCCCAGAGAGGCAGGAGGTAAAGCATTGCCTTGGACGGAGAAGCATGATGGTATGGGGGCAAACAGCTCTGCTGCTCATAGGGGCACCTGCAGGCAACACACAGCCCCAAACTCACATCATCAGGCAGTGCCCATTTTCCTGAGGCCAGACTCACCTCCCAGGGCACCGTGCCTGGTCCCCACGCTGCCACAAAGCCATCAGCTGGTCTGTGTGTCTGGAGCCTGGCACCAGCTCTGCTCTCAGCCTCCTCTCTGGTTTATGCTCCTTCCTTCAAAGCTGTCCATGATGGAGCCAGGCACTGGCTTTCTGCTCCCTGAGCAGGATGCTCTGCTTCAGCTGCTTTCTTCCTTTCTTTGGGGCACAACAACTGCCTCTATCCAGACAAAAGCAAGCCACGCACTTGTTTTCCTATTCCAAGTCACTTGCTTCTCAAGGCTCCATACTGCATACCTGGAAAAGCTTAAAATCTTTGGCAATGGATCATTTAATATTGACTGGAAACCGCTTTTTTTTTTTCTTTAATCATAGTTTTCCCATAACTTTCTCCTTTCTCTGAGCAGCCCCAGGACGTGTGTGTTGTACTGGAGTGCGCTCAGGCAGTGCTCAGTCCCTGGATTAGCAAGCCCAAAGCAAGAAGAAAAATCTGATCTCTGCAAAACAAACCCTTGTAGAATTAACAAACAGGGACTACAATGATGCCCCCGGAGGCAAAAGGATGAACACAAAAGCAACGCTGCATGGCTCTGAAGAGCACATCCAGGTAGCTTCAGCCAGCATAAGCTCTTGGATGCTTGAAATCACAGAAACAATGCTGGGAGGGAAAATAGTACGATTTATACAGGGAAACCATTCATTTCTTTAAGAATAATGAATATTGTGAGCCTAGGATATGAAGAGTGCTTCTGCAAATAGGGTATTTATAGGAAAAATAGAGAAGTGGTCGAGGTCTGGAACTTCTTTCTCCCACACTCAGGGGGAGAAAGGCACTCAGTCACTTTGTTCTTCCATTAGCATGAGTCAGGTTGGGAGGGCAGGGCCTGGGGGAACACTGGGGGTCAGCGATGGGAGAAGGCAGTGCCTTTGGAGGCCACCCCTCCTCCTCAGCTATCCATCCCACCCAGCAGAGCTTTGCAAACTATCAGAGGCCATAAAGTCGTTTTTAGAAGGGCAGAATTCATACACGAAAGGAAGCAGCTCCTACTGCAGCACAGATGTACGAGATAAGGAGAGGTGCTTTCATTTCTCTTCAGACTGTGAACTTACGCAAAAAAAAAAAAAAAATACAGCAGTTGCAGCTCAGATCACAGGCATGGAAGCGCTGCTGTTTGCTTTGTGTGAAGCAGTCTGACTTCCTCTTCTTACAGAAGATGAGCAGAGCTCCAACGGCTGCCGGCTGCGCAGGGTGAGGAGCCGTGCTATGAGGACAGCAGCTCATACAGAGCTCCAGCTTTCCTAAGCAACAATTCAGTGACAGTGGCTCAGAACGCGCAGTGACAAAGATGACAGCACAGTCAAATGCAGAGAAGGCAAAGTGCTGACTTCCAACTGATATTGCTGCAGAAAAATAAGCAGCAAAGCCCCCTTGAGAAGCCAAACATACCCCCCCCCCCCCACCTCCCTCAAACGAGGCATTTCTGATCATAGACCACCTCCTGATGAGCCTCGCGGGCAGGCACTCTAACTCCAGAAGAAGAGCACCTGGATCCCAAAGAGGGATCAGGTTTACAGGAAGGAAGTCCCTTCTTCAGAACGAGGTGCCCACATATGGGCTTAACCTGGAACAACTTCAAGTGTCAGCAAGCCTTGACAATGGAACGGCTCAATGGAAGCTGAGCACTTCTACAACAAACACAGCCTGCTGCTATCTGCAGTCAGAGCAGTTCTCAAAAACTCACTCTCACGTTTGTTAATGAGAATTGGGAGTGGTGTCACTGCACAAAGACAGCAGAGAAGCTTAAGTAAGCAAAATGATTGGAACCGTAAGAACCGGTTTCCTCTGGAGGCGGAGTGCTAGACGGTGAGACTCTAATTGCTATCAAGGCAGGAAATACGCCCATTTATGCTGCCTAGGCAATATCATCAATACTAACACATCATTAAAAAATCATTTTAATGAAATAGTGTGACTAATTACACGTACTTACAGTCGTTTTGGTTAGAGGCTCAAAGCTACGATCAGTGCTTTCAGGCTCTGCGCCACAGCCGGCAGGCGAGCGTCCCCCACACAGCTCAGAACGAGGACAGGCAGAGCAGCTTTAATCCATCCAGCCTTACCTCCAGCAGTCTTCCAGAGTTGTAATTCAGCCACATGGCAGCAAACATAGCACTGCAGAGGCTCCATGAACCGTTCTGTGCTTATCTGGCCCTGCAGGCGTTCTCTTCCACTCTAGGATTTTAAGTTCAGGGCACACTAGGAGGATACGAGTTGAAACACAACAGACCAGGCATGTTTTTACTTTATATTAAAGACCACCGTGTTTTCTCTCTCCCCAGCCTTCCTGAGTACTTCAGAAAAGGCTGAGAAAAAAAATGATCCACCTCAAAAACTAAAGCTGTCAGCTGCTCTATCACCAAGAAGGAAGCCATCCAACTCAGCCTGCCCTGTTGCAATCCCAAGCACAGGAGGAAGATTTTAAAGCATGAAAACAACCTTCCTCAGGGAAATACAGAGCTGATTTCAGGGCTTGAATACTTAATGCCACTCACCACTAAATCCTCTGAGTGCATCTGTATTTTTGGTGGTTTTTCCTGTGATGCTGAGAACTAAGAGAGGTCCACAGAAGTCAGTCTGGTCTTGCTGGAGTCCCAGCAGGTTCCTCTTCCGGCCATGTGTACAACATCACCTTTGCTACAGCTTTGAGGTGAGATTTTTCTCACCCATGCTAGCCTGACTGTGCTACAACAGGCTGTGGTATTGAGCTGAGCTTGTGGTGAAAATGACTGCTTGCCAGACGGCTCATCAGTTGTTGAGGCCTCTGTAAGTCTTCCAAACGTCTCCTTGCTGTTTCCACTTTAATTTCCCTGCATCTCCATCTCAGAGTATTTATATATGCAAAGAACAACTAAATTCCTATGAATTTTTACAAAAATCAAGCTGAAGAAAAACCTGGAGTTCAGGTGCAGGCAAGCTCTTCTTTAATGGAAACATCTGCCTATCATTATGCCACCACCAGCAGCCTGCACCTTGCAAGCCACATTCAGAAAGCTGCCTTCACACTCTGTGAAGGCCAGCAGCATCTCCTCAGAGTAACAAACATTTGTTCTTACGTGCCATTTTCTCACGTGTCTTTCTGATCAGCACTCAAATAAACATTAAAAAAATCCACACACGCTGGAACAGGAATCATCCAAAGCACTGGATTCCATCTTAACATTCCTAAAGGTGCTTAAGATTTAAACATTAGATCACTAAAAAGATAACTGCAAGCTAGCATAAGGATAACTGGTCTAGTGCAGAGATGCTTCTGATTATACTGTGCATGTTGATCACTTTGTCAGTAAACATACTTACCAAAAGCAGCAGCTTCTGTAAAGGAGTTTGCATGTGCATCGTGGTAATGCTAATGTTATCACACCCGTGGGTGAAGCTGAGTGTTACCCAGACATTCAGTAGGATTTTATACACTTACACAGGCTATTCAAAACTCATGCCTATGAGAAAAGATGCTTAACAGCAGCTGAAGAAAGCTTGCATCGACCCATTTTTAGGCTTAGTTATGGGAGTTCACTGGAAATCTGCATTTTAGGCTAAAAAGAAAGAGCAGCAGTGTGGGTTAACTCAGTGCACAGCTGGTGCTGCTGCACCAAGGTTCCACCAGCTGCCCTTCAGCCCAAGCAGCTCAGCAGCACAAGGGCTTGCTGACTGTGCCACCTGCTGGCACAAAGCATCTTTCCAACTCTCACCCTCCTCATCCCAGCTTCCTGTGGAGCAGATGAAGGCAGGAGCTGCTCAGATACAGAACCAAATCCTGGGGATACTGGTTATTGTCATGGAAACAGCCTTGACGTGGCCCTTCGATCCCAATGCCTGCCTGCAGGGCACAGCAAATGGGGCCACGCACAGCACCTGCAGGCCTGAAAATGCAGCTACCTTCTCACTGACAGCACACAAAGCAGGTAAGGAGAACAATGCGTTCCTCTGAACATGTTGGCTTGTTGCCTAGAACATCTGATAAGTTTTTAAGGAACTGACTTCATTCTTCTAAAATCTTTACCAGGCAAAGGTAAGAGAAACTGTTTCAGCCTACCTGGAAGCATTTCTAGTGTTTCTGTTAGGTGTCTCAAGATAGCCAGAGGCTGAAGTCTTGCACAGTGAGAACCATCCACCCTGCAGACGCTCCAAGGGAAAATTACCTTTTCTGTTTTCAATAAAGTCGGGGCTTCGTGCTGCCATCAGATGCTCCCTATTCCCTGCAAGGAACTCGTTTCCAGCCCTCTCCACTGAAGGCTACCAAAACAAACCAGACAACCACCCCACCCTCGATATCCTCTCAGACAATCAGGAAATTGTTGCAACAGTAACTTGTCCAAACCCACAGCAAGCAACTTGTCCGGGCAGCTACCTCCACGTTACAACACAGGCTTCATCACCAATTCAGAGTTTTATTTCAGTTTTACGCCCTCAGCTTCGTTACTACCTCCTCCATTTACTAAGCTGCAGTGTAGGGACACGTGCTCTGCATTGCCATACACCTAAGGCAAAGAGCTGTTCGTTTCCAAGACAAGACAGCAGGACTCCCTGCTGCCCAGGAGCCGTTATCTCACTCACCAGCCTCAACAACACCCAAAAGCACACGCTGCAATCCAGCCGCTTTCTTTGCCGTATTCTCACGCCAGGAAGTCTGCTCCATGAATTCAGTTTACAGCATCCAGCTGTCCCTCGGGGGATCAAGTTTGAAGTGATGCATCCTTTCCTCCCCCTGTTGCTCAAGCTAGCCTTGCAGCATGACATATTTCCACCATTAACAATATGAGGAAAGCGAGCATCACGGGCAGATGGGGGAAGAAGGGAGAACAGCAGATGCTGCCCTGGAGCCACACACTGCTGAACTGCACTCTGCTTCTGAGCACCAGGAAGTCACACAAACACCAAGTTTTTAGAGAAACATTTATTATAGGGTCGCAGAATTTATGCCAATATAAAGTCCCTTAATAAAACTCTCATCAACTGCAGGATGCTAACTTCACTACCCTCCTATGACAGCTTTCAAAGAAAGAACAACGCGCTGGCTGCAGCAGTAATGCTACCTGCTCATAAAAAGTTGATCTAAAAAGTCTGTGTAAGCCAGAGTAGTTTAAGTTTACAACTACAGTCACATTCACAAGTGAGCTATTACCAGAACAGATTCTTGAAATAGGAAGTTATAGGATAAACCAATTCATAACCAAAATACTGACGAGCGTCAAGAGCAAATCCATCTGAATCTAAACAACTAAATACCAAAACAAAAACAAAGGGTAGAAGAATTAAATGTAAGCTCAGGGAGGGTTCCAAATATACATACGAATTCAATACAGTAATTGCACAAAAAGAAAGAGGGTAGTGTTAGAGGTTTGTGATCACTGAGGTTGGATTTTACATGCTTCACACATGGATGTCAAAAGAAACCTTTAATGATACACACCAGGTTTTTAGGCAGAAGACCGAGTGCAGAACTATTCTACAGAACTACACAAGATGTGCAAACCACAGATTATTAATACAGCAATCATTCTGTGAAAGTTAAGGTGAACAGAACTGGTTCCTGGTTAACATTGGTGTGTATATATATATATATATATATATCTATATATATATGGTTTTTCCTGCCATTCCCAGGTTACTGCAGATCACACGCATTCAATGGATAAACTGATATCACCCTGCTAAAAAAACTTATTCAAACTTAAGTTCTACGTGAGACAACTAAAAAGAGAGATACCAAGGATCAAAGAAAGCTGAAATGGTGACTGTCTTTTTGAAATACAAGCGATACACAGAAAATGCATAAGGCTTTTGATTATCACTGCACATTTTAATTTAAGAAGTCGCCCCCTAAAGCTCAGACTTCTCACTGCAGGTGTGAACTGGTCACCGCCCATCCAGCACCTCTCACTGCTGACAGATCTTTGTTTCAACCACGAAAGAGTTTTCAAAGTGTCTGATTGAGTGGCAGTTCTCCACTGAGCGTTTCTGCAGACCTGGGGAGGAGAGGAGACGAGAGGCTCAGTACAGCAAGAGATCAGGAACTGTGCAGCAGCATTTACACGCTCCTCTTTTTGAGTAACTCTCAACAGCAAGGATTACAACCATTCTGTGCCTGTTGATTGCACGGCCATGAAGTCACAAATTGCC